CTGGACGTAATAACAACCAGGGAAGGAGAGAGAGTACCATTACTGGGAAGGTCTGACAGCAGATAGCAAGATGCCTGTTAGTTCAATAATGTGTTATCAACCATACCAGTACATCCATTCTCTTAAACTTTGATAACCCCATTACAATGCTGGGATACAGTGCTTGTATCTGATGTAGTATATTAAGAAATACAGTAATGTACATTACAGTAGCAGTATCCTCAACCATATACAAAGATATGTCAGCTTTAAGAATTTTTTCATCTTAGAATACAGTACAAGAAAAATAATTTTGATTACGATGTCAAAAAGATTTATTTAGATCATTAGTTCTATACTGTATTCTCAAATTTCTTTAGAATGGTAGTACAGTAGTGCACTGATAAGAAACTGGTTAAAACATTAAAAGGGTCACTAAATTTTCAACTATACAATACGCTGCAGACTTTTCACAAGTACAGTATAGGGGATATGAAAAAAAAAAAAATTCTAATCCAAACTACAGTGGAACCTTGAAATGAGGATGCTCAATAATCATGATATCTTATGACTAAAGACGGTTCCACATAATTATAATAAGCATTCTTAAAATACTGATTAGATAATGTGGACATCTCATTACTCAGGAGAGAGAAAAAAAATAATCTCAAACCCAAACACCACAAAATTGTGAATAATTTTAGCACTGGACAGCTCTGAGTCGTAAAGTTACGAGATGTCTAGCAGCTTGGAAGTCTAAATAACAGTGCAGACCTATAGCCAAGGGGGTGATATATCACAGTGCAGAGACCCATAGCTGGGCAGGGGGTACATCAAACTCTAGACATGACAACAGCTCACTCTTATATGATGAACACTGAAAATGAGGGAGCAGGGGGACACTAATGTCTGTAGTTGGTGCTTAAAGTGCCAGAGTTAGCATTTCAAAACTCAAATCAGTTGAAATTATGTGTAATAATAAAGAGTTAAGGTTAATTGGGGTCAGATATGTAAAGTCAAGCCCTGGTTAGCTATAATTGTATGTACTGTATATAAGCATATATTTCTGAACATTTTCTTTCCTATTGTTAACAACTTTTATAAAAAAAATTTGGCCATATTCTCTAATGAGGACACCTCATTGAAGTGGACAAGTCCCACGAGTGTCCTGAATACTAAGGTTCTACTGTATGTACAGGTATTAATGTACTTAGCAATTACATCACCTTAAAAGAACCTCATAACTATAACACACAGTACTATTGTAAGCCATATTAAAGATATACTGGATCAATGTAAAGTTTATTAACTATTTATTTGTCCTTTTGATTCACTGGCAGGGTTCACTGTGTCATAAATTAATGCCAAGGCTTTGCTTTATTGGTTAAAGACATGATGAATTCTTATGCATTATAGTACTGTCAAGTTCTGGTGTATCATATTTAAATTATGTTGCACTGTCTGGGACTGTCATATTATTCATATACTGTACTGTACTATTTATCAATCAATGTTATTTCCTTGTCATATCTTTCTATATCACATGATATACTATTGTGTTACTACATTCTGCTGGTTAATTGTTAAATTTGTTGAAGTGATGTTTAGCTTTTTTATATTAGAACTCAAGTTCTGTTCATTTGTTTCTTCCATCTGCAAATTGTTAAAGTCTCGTGAATTGTTTGTCCCTTCTTTTGCAGTCAAACAAGTACTGAGTCACTGCTACATTCTTCAAAAAATATAAGACATTCTGGTATACAGTACATGCATTCTTTCATACTTATCTCATGGTCTAATATTTTCCTGAAGGCTTAGATCATCTCCAACATAAACACTTAATCTTACATCTCTTACATTCCAGAGTTAATTCTGAATACTATTCCCAGATAGCATCAATTGTAAGGGAAAATAATAATGATCTTTAAGCATATGAACAGAGTAACTACAACAATCAAATACCTACATTGGAGTCTGTGGATTCCTTATTCAAGATATTTTATGAAAATGTTTCTAAACTTCCTGATCTCTCAGCACTAATGTTGACGCAGCTGAGCAATCAAATAACCACTTCGCTACTATATACCAGACGCTCCCCTGGCTTGACAAAATCACTCTCCCTGCTTACCTACCAGCCGCCCTTCCCACTGACTTAGTAGAAAAAATTGAAGTAGCAAAACGCCTGGACAAACTAAAATTAAAACGCTCTACCACCCCCATTGACTTACCAATGAAACTCTTCAAGGAGTTCTCCTCGGAGCTTGCTAAGCCCCTATGCTCCACCATCAATGCTTCTCTCAGTCAAGCCAGATGCCCAGCTGACTGGAAGACCTCTTATGTATCACCAGTGCCCAAGTCAACCAGCCCACAATCCTTAAATCAGCTACGATCTATTGCAATCACCCCAATACCCAGCCTAATCTGTGAAAGTTTTGTGTTCGACTGGGCTTATGCTGATATTGCAGGAGTCGTAGACCCTCAGCAATTTGGCAATATGAAAACTTCCTCCACCACTCACTGTCTTGTCAGCTTTCTCGATTACACATACTGCCATCTCGAGAAACGAAAAACGTCTGTAGCTGTCGCCTTCATTGATTTCACTAAAGCATTCGACCTAGTTGACCACAATTTAATCATCAACAAAGCTATTGACCTCGAGCTTATAAATGTCTTATACCATGGCTTACAGACTTCCTCAGTGACAGACGCCAAGCTGTACGCTTCCGAGGGGCTGTCTCCACCTTTCAGTCACTCACCTGTGGCGTCCCCCAAGGCACCAAGATGGGACCACTCTGCTTCCTTATGCTTATCAATGATGCCCTAAGAGAAACCCCCGCTCGTTGGAAATACGTCGACGACTCCACCAATGGGTTTCAGCGTCAACAATTCTGCTCCCGACTATACCGCCTTTCAGGATTTATTGAACAGTCTCCAAAACTGGGCCACCAACAACCACGTCACCATCAACCATACCAAGACCATGGTTATGCACATCAACCTCTCCTCCGACATTGTCCCACCCCCTTCCATTACTTTAGGTCCAAACACACTCCAGGTTGTAGATTCCACGAAGCTCCTCGGCGTCACCATAGTCAACAAACTAAATTGGAAACCGCACGTCAGTGAAGTTGTCAAATCCTCCAGTTTCCGTCTCCACCTCCTCCGCCGACTCAAGTCCCTCGGAGTTCTTGCACCCGAGCTCCTCAGTGTTTACTCAACATTCATACTTCCCAAGCTCACCTATGCCTCCCCTACCTGGTCTTCCTCCCTAAATGCCACACAAAGTAAACACCAAGGAAAAGTGCAAAATAGGGCATGCAAGATTATTCTCTCCCCTTCCTACTCCACATATCAAGAAGTGCTCAACACACTGACCCTTTCGACTCTCACTGACCATCACCACGACCACATCTGCAAATTTGGTAAGAAGCTTCTGCACCATCCTCGACACCAGCTCCTACTACCACCTGAGATCCCTAGCCCGAGAATTGCTGTTTGACACCACAACCGCATCCAGCCTATACGTGCACGAACTGATCGCTATAAGAACAGCCCAGTCCCAACCATTGTAAAAATTATCAATAACTTGTAATAAACCAGTGTAATTACTCGCAGTAAATACTACTTCTTGCACTGTCACTATGTTGAAATGCTCTGTAGTTTGAGCTTTTCCCCATCTAGTTATTATATATCTTATTTGTACCACTTATGTTATTTGTATATTATTTGTAAATCGAAACCCATTCCCCAATTATGTAACTGTATATTTTCAGCCTTCTGGCTGCCAAGCTCTTTCAATAAACAGTTAATTATTATTATTATTATTATTATTATTATTATTATTATTATTATTATTATTATTATTATTATTAGGAAGGCCAAGCAACTGTGGGTCATCATTCATTGATTTCCATTTCTTGGCCTGATATTTGCCCAAAAATGGTCTGTGAAATAGATGAAGTCTGGGCTAAATTATTGAAAAACTTAACATTCATTCCCTCATATAGGAATGCTCACAAGTTTAGTTTTTTGAAGTTCCAATGCAATGACAAAAAGAGTTCCTTATATGAACTTTCCCAGTATTTGTCGGCTCCAAAATATGCTGACATAAGTTATGAATTAAATTTTAAACCAGTTGCTTCTGCATTGCTGCAGGAAGAGTTCAAATTTAGAAAGTTGCCAGCGGAGATTTGGTCTGCAATCATGATGTGTCAGTTATTGACTAAGTTGGTGCTGGACTATGAGGACAGTTCACAAGTAGACAGATGTTTTACTGCTGCTATACAAGGGAGTTCATATTCCCTGTACAACTCATTGATGGAAATGTTGTTGAAAGCCCTAAAACTAAAGGCCCAGCTAAGGAAGCAAGCCACTAATAATGCTTCAAGTGGTAGTGCTTATTTATTGCTATGCTCTTCACCTCTTTGTCCTGCTTTGTTTGATGAACAAACATTAGTTAAGCATAGATCAGCTGTTGAGCAAGCTATTCATATTACTGCTCCCAGGAGTTGTAAGACATTTCGGAAACTTTGAAGAGGAAGGTCTAACAGGGGAACAGGACCAGCTGCTAGGTTCAGTCATCATTGTAGAGGAAACATTAGAGGAGAAAACAATTCAAGACGTAGTAGGGGTGGCTGTTTGTTCAGAGGTGGAAGGAGATCTTATTCCACCACATCAGCGACCATTCCCTTAATAACTGTGCCAAAAGTGCTTACAAAACTGGCGAACATCCCCAAGGAGATCCTTGCGAAGCAGGGCACAAGAACTTTTGCTAATCTAGATGATTGAGTGATAGTGGGAAACTCTTTAGAAGACTGTGAAAGGGCGACCCAACGTACACTAGTACTATTTCCAAACCTAGGATTAAAGATAAACCAGGTCAAATCAAATCTCCTACCATGTCAGACATTGGATTGGTTAGGTCTCCTTTGGGACACCAATCAGCAGTCAGTCAGTCTACCAGAAGCGAAGGTAACAGATGTGATAAACCAAGTAGAGGCCTTTTGTGTAAAGCAAGAGGTTTC